CATCCTCTTTTTTTCCTTGGTCTCTACTGGTGACTCCCCTTGTGTCAATGCACTCCAGTGGTTGATGGAGAATCTGCATGGTGGTTGTGATGTCTAGCCACTTTCGAGGTGGCTGTGGTTACTGTGGTGGGCCACCCAGATGGTGGTGATGTTTTTGGCATGCTCCTTGGCACTGGTGGTATACATGGTTGTGTGTGTGGGGGTCTGGTCCCTGGCTACATGCCCCAGGCCCCGAGGTGCTGGTGTTGTGCCTGGTTGTGGGCTAAGTTAGAAGTTTTTTAAAAAAAACTTTCTTCTTGGTGGGGGAGGGCTAAATAGAACCTAACATGTTTCACTTTACCATTGTATTTGCCTTTAAAAAAAAATTGGGCTGTGGCAGTTGATAAAAGGAATTAAGAAGGTATGTGGGGATAGGACCATACATGCCAGAACTCAAATGGTATTCTCTTGAGTGGTCAGACTGTCTCTACTGCTTGGGGAGAGACCAAAGTTCGACTGAGTAGCCACCCATGGGCTCTCTGCTCCATTAAAGTATGGGAAAGCTTTGCTTTAATGTGCAAGACCAGTAAGTCTAAATTGCAGATCCTATAGTGAATGTACCTGAATAGTCTATTGTGATAACCTAGAATTTGATGGGGACAAAAATATGGGTAGATGTTAGGGTCATGATGGCTCAGCATTTATTGTACTTGTTTGTGCTCCTGGCAGTGGCCTGTCACCAAACTTAATCCAAAAGACCCTGCAGTGACAGGGGCCATCTGGACCCTTCCTGTGTATAGATAGTTCCTAGGGACTTACATGCAGGTCAGTATGCCAGGGCTGCAGGGACAAAATCTAAACAATTCAACACATAAGAAGTTTGGTAGTTAGCAAGCTTTACTTGCTATTGAGTGCCAGAAAAACTCATTTACCTGGTGATTAAATGTCATGAAATTAGCATCACACATAAACGTGTCTTGCACCAAGCCACTTGATGGTTTTTCTTTTTTCTTTAAAAAGATGACCGGTAAGGGGATCTTAACCCT